TTGTCTCAGCAGTTGGATGGCTTATTAGGGATGTTGTGCGTAGATGTAGCACCAGCTGATGGAGCATCGATTCAGCAAACTTTAAAACTGCTTGAAGAGAAGCTGAAAAGTGTTGGTAAGCAGATTTTAAAAATGCTGAAACATAAGGTTTTTTTTTTTTTTTTTAAAATATCATTACCATGGTTAGACAATTAAGTCAACTTATACTGAACTAATCATTACTATTTTCAGGAAACAGAAAAATCGTATAAAAAGGTTTTATTCCCTTGAGGGGGTTATAATTTATGCTGAAAATTTTATTTTTTATTGCTAGTCATTCCTCCCTTCACTGGGCCTTAACCCTGGCCTGTTTACCCAGCCAGGGTAAAGGCCCAGTGAAGGGAGGAGTGACTAGCAATCTACAGGTGCTGTGTCTTGCATATACTATGAACAGTTATTTGTAGTGCATGCATAAACTGTAATTAGCTGTAAAGTGTTCTGTGGTAAACCCTGTATGCCCAAAATCGTGTTTATGCAATGATTTTTGTTGTTGCTTTATCCTAACCTTGTGAAAACAGTAATTGGTTTGGTTTTTTGGTTCTTGTCTCTCTAAACTGAGAATATTGCCAGATTACCCACTCTCCAAGAAGTGGGGGTCCAGTTACATTAAGGGGTCTAGTTATATTAAGCTAGTTCTGTCATTTGACATCAAGGCCTTTAAAATTTTTCTACAGCAGGGAACACAGTGAGCTTTCCTAAAAGGTTAGGATGTGAAAATGGAAAGGTGGGGAGTCATATCAAGGGGGACAAAAAGGGAACAAAAGGGGAAATGGCAATGGAAGAGAGAAAACAGGAACCTAAGGCAGAGAACTAGTAGAAAGTGGTTACACAAGACTAAACCAAATTAATTAATTATTGAAAACTGCTTTAGGGAATTGGTTAGAAAAATCATGCTTGTACTGACATTCTACTTAGTTATAGCTTTTGTTATTTTTATTTTATTTATTTTTTGAGACAGAGTCTTGTTCTGTTGCCCAGGCTTGAGTGTAGTGGTGCAATCTTGGCTCACTGCAACCTCCGCCTTAGCTTCCCAAGTAACTGGGATCACGGGTGTCTGCCACCACACCCCTACTAATTTTTGTATTGGCAGTTTTAGTAGAGATGGGGTTTTACTATGTTGGTCAGGCTGGTCTCGAGCTCCTGATCTCAGGTGATCTGCCCACCTTGGCCTCCCAAAATGCTGAGATTACAGGCATGAGCCACCATACCCAGCCAGCCTTTGTTCTTTTAGCAGATGATATGCATAATGCATATTTAGTATTTGATATGACAAATGAATTTTATTTAAAAATATTAGAAGTTTTCTTCAGCCACAATCTTAAACAAAAAGTTCCTTTACACATCTAATTTAGAGAATTGTAAATATACCCTAATTGTTGCTTCCTATGGTATAAAAGCTAGACTGTACCTTAGTCACAATGTTCAACATCCTTTGACACTGATAATACATTGCTGGAGTGTCTCAAAATCTTGCAAGGGTTATGGGCTTTTTTAAACAACATATTTGCCTTGTTCTTCTAAAAGTTAGCATAAATGCAGGAAGAAAAAATATAAAATTTTTTTCTATTAGAAATATAAATTTTCATACTTTTCTTCTGCTTTCATTTTTTTAAAGTAATTATTATCTATGGAAATGCAGGTTTTCAAAATTCCCTTTAGGGAGAATTTAACATGAGAGAGAGCACCCGTTCGAGTCACATTTAAAGGGTCTTACTGCTTGAGATGTTCATAGGATAGAGTCTTTGGATTCCATCCCAAGATGGCTTAATGTACAAAGCTCTCCTATACTTGGGATCCAAATACAATATCTGATGAGATGATTTGTTTGAGGGAGGGAAAGCACCTTAGTTGTGTAAGAGATTAAATCTAGTAACTTTTATTTTAGATGTGGGATTGCAAGGTTTACGTGAAAAAGGTCAAGGTCTCCTGGATCAGATCTCCAATCAGGCATCCTGGGCCTATGGAAAGGATGTAACCATTGAAAATAAAGAAAATGTGGACCACATACAAGGAGTGATGGAAGATATGCAACTTAGAAAACAAAGGCAAAGTTTGACTGTTAATTTTTACCAAAATAGCATAATATTAATTAAAATGAAAAGTTATATAAATTTATTTTGTTTACAGACAAAAAGTTCTTAAGTGTTCTATAGTAGACATACAGTAGGTTTTTGTTGAATGTAATTATTGTTATAATTTTACTAACAAATAGTAATAATTTATTCAATTATTAGGTACCTTTTCCCTTTTTTACTGGGTTGTAAAAATTTCAGTTATACTCAAGTACTTCATATTCTATATCCTCAATGTAGTCCGTGGCTCTGTTCTCCTTTAAAAACTTTCTGAAGAATTTTGCTTTTTAAATTTCATTTAGTTTAGAGTTGCTGTTAAACTTGTCATATATATTGATCTATTTCTTCATCTAAACTTACAAAATGTCACACATTCATTGTTCTTATATTTGCTGTAGGAGGATTTAACAGTAGACTAGTGATGTTTAGTTTCATTTGCTATAAAACTAGGAATTTAAAAGATTACTGGAAAACTCACTTTGCAAAAGCAACTATAAAGTATTGCAAAGTAAAGGATTAAAATCATCTATGCAGTATATACAAACTGGCATGGTTATATGACATTTTTCACACTTGAAAATTTTGAGATCATCAACAAAACTTTACAGAAAGCTGCTTCTATATCACAGAGAAAACAGTCATGAGGCAGAAATTTCTTCCCTCATATCAACAAACTTCTCATTATTCTCTCTCCACAGAGGATAATAGCGCTCTACTGTTACCAAAGCTGATCTTCCATTTAGGCTCTGATTCTAATCCACCTCCTGACTCCTAACTCCATCAACTCCCATTCTCTACTCTGATTCCTGCCCTTCACTTAAATGCTTAAATTTCTCCTATTTTAAAATTAATCATCACACACATGGATGTGTCTTCCTCTTCAGCTCTTTGTCTTTTAGCGTTAGTGCTCTTCTTCCTCACAGCTAAGTCATTTGGATAGGTTTACTGTACGTTCATACTACTTCCCCACTCCCTCCAATTTATTTTCAACGCTTTTCAGTCTGGCTTCTACCCTCACTATTTCAGTGTGGCTCTTACTGGCATTATCAATGTAATGAATGCTGGATCTTACTTGAAATCCCAGGAATACTTTTAGTCCTGACTTGCTCAACTGTGATTAGTGTTAGGCACGACTGACTTTTCTTTCATTTTGAAACTTCCTGATAACCTTGTCTTTCTTGAAAACACACTAATGATCCTTCTCTGTTTCTTCTTGGTTTTTGTCACTGGTTTCTTGGCCACTAGCTAAAGTTACTGCTTCCAAGGTTTGTTCTGAGGCCAGATTCCAACCTTTATATGGTCTCCCTGGACATTCTGACTACTTGAATGACTTTTCTTTAATAGATCATGCTTTAGTAGTTAGTTACAGCTCTCACCAAGACCCTCTCACATGCTGTAGACCCAAAAATCCAGTTGCCTCCTTAGTGTTGCCTGCTGGATGCCCCCATGTACTGCTGAAACCTGGTGTATTAGTCCATTCTAGCATTGCTATAAAGAACTACCTGAGACTGGGTAATTTTTAAAGAAAAAAGGCTTAATGGACTTACATTTCCATAGGCTGTACAGGAAGCATGCATGGCTGAAGAGACCTCAGGAAACTTCCAATAATGGTGGAAGGCAAAGGGGAAGAAGCAGACACATCTTACTTGGCTGGAGAAAGATAGGGAAGAGGGAGGTGCTGCACACTTTTAAACAACCAGATCTCATGAGAACTCACTGACATGAAAATAGCAACAGGGAAATACACCACCATGATCCAATCACCTTCTACAAGGCCCCTTGTGTTAGTCCATTTTCACACTGCTATAAGGATATACCCAAGTCTGGGTAATTTATAAGAGAAAGTTTAACTGACTCACCTCACAGCTTTGCAGGGCTGGGGAACCTCAAGAAACGGGATCATGGTGGAAGGGGAAACAAACACGTCCTTTTTCACATGGCAGCAGCAAGAAGTGCAGAGGGAAAAGGGGGGAAACACAAGTCGATCTTAGGAGAACTGACCATCATGAGAACAGCATGGAGGTAACTGCTGCTATGATTCAGTTAACCCCCCTCGGTCCCTCCCATGACATGTGGAGACTATGGGAACTGCAATTCAAGATAAGATTTGGGTGGGGGCACAGACAAACCATATCATCCCTCTTCCAACATTGGGGATTACAGTTCAACATGAGATTTGAGTGGTGACACAAATCCAAACCATACTATTCCACCCCTGGTCTGTCCCAAATCTGATGTTATTCTCACATAGAAAAATATAATCATCCCTTCTCAACCAGTCCCCAAGTCTTAATGCATTTCAACATTAACTTGAATGTCTACAGTTGGTAGTCTCATCTGAAAAAAGGCAAGTCCTGTCCACCTATGAGCCTGCAAAATCAAACACAAGTTAGTTACTTCCAAGATACAATAGAGGTATAGACACTGAGTAAATATACCCATTCCAAAAGGGAGAATTTGGCCAAAACGAAGGGGCTACAGGCCCCATGCAAGTCCGAAACCCAGCAGGGCAGTCATTAAATCTTAAAGCCCTAGAATAATCTCCGTTGACTCCATGTCTCACATTCAGGCCACATTGATGCAAGACTTGAGCTCCTAAGGCCTTGAGCATCTCCATCCCTGTGTCCCTGCAGGGTACAGCCCTCTTGTCTGCTTTCACAGGCTGACATAGAGTGCCTACAGCTTTTCCATGTCCATGGTGCAAGCTGTCAGTGGATTTGCCATGCTGGGGTCTGAAGGATGTTGGCCATCTTCTCACCACTCTACAGTGCCCCAGAACTCTGTTTTTGGGGGTCCAACCCCACATTTCCCCTCCACACTGCCCTAGTAGAGGTTCTCCATGAGGCAGCAGACTTCTGCCTGGACATCCAGGCATTTCTATACGTTCTCTGAAATCTAGGCAGAAGCTCCCAAGCTTCAACTCTTGCCCTTTGTGCACCCATAGTATTAACACCACATTGAAGTCACAAAGGCTTATGGCTTGCACCCTCTCTGGAGCAGTGGCCTGAGCTGTGTCTGGGGTCCTTTTAGCCATGCTGGAGCTGGAACAGCTGAGATACAAGGAACAGTGTCCCAAGGTTGTGCAGGTCAGCGGGGCCCTGGGCCTGGCTGCCAAATGATTCTTCCGTCTTAGGCATCCAGGCTTGTGATGGGAGGGGCTACCACAAAGTCTTCTGAAATGCCTTCCAGGCATTTTCTCCATTTTGTTGGCTATGAACATTCAGCTCCTCTTTACTTATGCAAATTTCTGCAGCCAGCTTGAATCTCTCCCCCAGAAATGGGTTTTTCTTTTCTGCCATGTGGCTAGGCTACAAATTTTCCAAACTTTTATGCTCTGCTTTCCTTTTAAATAAAAGTTCCAGTCTCAGATCATCTTTTTGCTCACAAACATATGCACAGGCTGCTAGAAGCAGCCAGGTGAAGTCTTGAGTGTTTTGCTGCTTAGAAATTTCTCCCACTAGATACCGTAAATCACCTCTCTCAAGTTCAAAGTTCCACATATCCCTAGAGCAGGGTTACAATGCTGCCATTCTCTCTGCTGCCGCATACCAAGAGTGACCTTCACCCCAGTTCCCAGTAAATTCCTCATCTTTTTGAGACCCTCTCAGCCTGGACTTCACTGTCCCTATCACTATTAGCATTCTGGTCACAACAATTTAACAAGTCTCTAGGAAGTTCCAAACTTTCCCTCATCTTCCTGTCTTCTTGTGAACCCTCCAAACTGTGCCAACCTCTGCCCATTGCCCAGTTCCACATTTTCAGGTATCTTTATAACAGTGCCCCACTCCCAGTACCAGTTTTCTGTGTTAGTCTGCTGTCACATTGCTATAAAACACTGAGACTGGGTAATTTATGAAGAAAATATATTTAATTGACCCAGGGTTCTGTGAGCTGTACAGGAAGCATGACTGGGGAGGCCTCAGGAAACTTTCAATCATGGTGAGAGACAGAGGGGAAGCCCGCATGTCTTACATGGCTGGAGGAAGAGAGTGAAGGGGGGCAGTGTCACGTACTTTTAACCAACCAGGTCTTGTGAGATCTCGCTCACTTTCACAAGAACAGCAAGGGGGAAATCTGTCCCCATGATCTAATCATGTCCCACCAGGCCCCTCCTCCAATATTGGTGTTACATTTTGGTGTTATTTTGGGTGGGACACAAGTCCAAAACCCAAATCCAAACCATATCACTTAGTATGTTCAGACTGGAATTGTTTTCCCCTAAAACTTGCTCTCCTTTTTAAACTTCCTATCTAGGCTAAAGTTACCATCGGCTACCAAACTTGAGATTTATCCTAAAATCCTTCATCTTTCTCATCCCTTATAGCTTATTCAGATGTCCAAGTTCCACTGTCTCTGAATCTCAAACATTTCTGTTCAATATCTTAAATTCTTACCTGCCTCTGACCTGGCTACTCTCCAGCTTTTTGTATGTAAGAGTAATCTTCATAAAGTACAATTGTGTAAAACTTCCTTCAGTGACTTCCTGTTTTCTCAGATGGAGTTTGTCATCTTGGAATAATGTAGGAGACCCTTTATAATCCAGTCTTGCATAATTTTATCTTCTGTAACATTCCCATAAAATCACACAGTTGTATTTATCTTCCTCAAAGCATCATGCTGTTTCATGTATCCATGACTAAGAATACTTCTTCCCTCATTTTCTGCTCAGTGAATTCCTACATATTCTTTAAGACTCAGGAATAGTTACTTTGGGAAGCCTTTTTGGACTTCTAAGACGTGTTAGTCACTTGTTCCTTGCTACTCCCATAAAACATTTTAAATAGCTTTATAATAGTACTTATTACATCTCTGCAAATGACAGCATCCTGATAGTAGAGACCGTATCGTATATTTTCTCCAGCACTCATTATCTAGTACCTGAATACAGTATATGTATGATGCCATCTTCATCATTAAAGTGGTTTACATTGTTTTTTAGTTTCAGATTTAAAAAATAATTATCATCACTCCCTTTCAGTCCATTGTAGAATTTTAATGTTACAAATTTTATTGAGAGCATCTTTATTTTTTAAAAAAAGCCTTGTGATGCTTACTTCTGTATTGTTATTAAGCTACCTTTAAGGACATCAAGTATAGTGGAGCCCAGTGTCTGCTGGATAACTTGTTACTGATATTTGAGACAGCAGTGAGAGTCTCCCATCCCACCTGCAGTACACAGAATTGCATGGAAGTAAAGGAAATGGACCAGGGTTAAATTAGGTTAAGTTGCCTTAAAACTTTAACTGGTATGTTATCCAGGCAGACCACAGTGAGATTTAAAAATAATCTGAGTTGTGTTTCTCTACATCCAGAGGTCAGTAGAGGTTTTTGTTTCTTTAAGCCCTCCATCTAGTTTTTAAGAGTGTAGATTGAGGATTTTTTTTAAAAATCAGAATTAAATATTATTTTAGGTACTATAATGAAAAGCATTAATTTTTCAAAACTTCTTTAGCTGGGCATAGTGGTGCACACCTGTAGTCTCAGCTAATTGGGAGGCTGAGGTGTGAGGATCAGTTAAGCCCTGGAGTTTGAGGTTATAGTAAGCTATGATGGTGCCACTGCACTCCATCCTAGGTGACTGAGTGACACCTTGCCTCAAAAAAAATCTTCCTGTATTTGAGAAACATTATACTTTTATCCTTGAAGCTTGTTTAATATTAAATGTCAATGGAGATTTTTTTGGGGGGGTTAGTGTACTATTGTAATTACATTTTCCTTTAACGTTTTGCAGAATCCATGCTGTCCTTAAGAGGGTTTTTTATTGAGTATCATTAGGGTATTTTGAGGTTCTGATGTAACATTGATAGAGATATCCCTAACATTCTTACAAAATAATACAAAATACTTGCATTCTCCATTGTGTAGCACTAAATATTTTAGTGTACTATAAAACACATGTGCCAAATGATGATGTTACAGTAATCAACAAAACAGAAATGATGAGTTAAATTTATGTTTGGGTTCATTAGATGTGAAGACATGGTAGATGTGCGAAGGTTAAAGATGCTTCAGATGGTGCAGTTGTTTAAATGTGAAGAAGACGCTGCCCAGGTAAGGACCAGTCAGCTATATTATATAGTTAGCTTTTCTTAGAAGATTGATTTCATTTAACTACAAACAAAAGTGTACTTTTCATGGTTCTAAAAAAGTAAATTCTTCAAGTCAGATTCTAGTTTATCCTATTGAAGAATAAACTTTGGTATTCCCAGCCAGTTTATTGATCTCATTTAACTTAATCTTCTCAATGAAATCCTCTGTTGAGCTAGAGATTGGGATCATTTATTATTTATTATTGTTGATTAGGTTGTCAGTTACATCCAGGATAAAATCTGGTGCAGCTCATTGCATTTTAGCCTGCAAGAGAATTTTCAGTACCATATAAACAATTTGATATCTTTTGTCATTATCATCAGAGAACATCAGTTCAGTTTTAGAGAAAATTTATGATTTTATGTAGTAACACAAATCTGTAATGCAATCCTGATGGATCTATATACAGAAATACATGATCTTATGATGTGATATTAATTTTAAAAGAATGCTTTTCTTTAGTATGTCTTGCCTTCAGATTTAAAGAATTTTGAGTAGGAGAGGTCATTAATGTAGTTTGTCATTGAATGAAATAAGCTTTTAAGACTAGGTTATAATTAACGGATTCATTAATCACATGATAGTAATCTCTATATAAATATGACATTTTGGTACAGTAAGTAAAGAGTTCTGAATCCAGCTTCATTGTTATGTCTTTTTGTTTAGGCAGTAGAATGGCTAAGTGAACTCCTGGATGCTCTGCTTAAGACCCACATCAGATTGGGCGATGATGCTCAAGAAACGAAAGTTTTGCTGGAAAAGCATAGAAAATTTGTTGATGTTGCACAGGTGCAAAACTGGTTATCTTCCTTTTCCACAAGCTCAGTGTTTGAATAGCTTTCTGCATGATTATAATGTAACTTTACCCTCCAAGTCCAAGAAGGTTAGTTTTGTTATTCCAGAAGTATCACAGAATTAAGAAAATGTCAGCTGGTGCATCAAAACTAGCCTGCATAAACTTGAGAGGGTTTATGTTTCCTTGAATACAGGTTCTACATGGTCCCTCTGAATTATGTTATATATTATGGCATTTTTAAGGCAATCCAACTGTTCATTCATATTAACAGAATGAACTTATTTACTCATATTAACAAAATGAACTTACTGATATTAATAGAAGTTAATATGAAATGGAAGTTAATATCAGTAAATAAGAAACCTCACTTGCTGCATCTTACTAGGGTTGGCATAATAATACGGAACTTTTTTGTGATGAAAAGTATCCTTTTTTTTTTTTTTTTTTTTTTTTTTTTTTGAGACAGAGTCTCACTCTGTCACCCAGGTTGGAATGTAATGGTGTGATCTCGGCTCACTGCAACCTCTGCCTCCCAGCTTCAAGCAATTCTCCTGCTTCATCCTCTCCTCTGAGTAGCTAGGATTACAGGCACCTGCCATCACACCCGGCTACATTTTGTATTTTTAGCAGAGATGGGGTTTCACCATGTTAGTCAGGCTGGTCTCGAACTCCTGACCTCAAGTGGTCCACCCACCTTGGCCTCCCTAAGTGCTAGTATTATAGAGGTGAGCCACCGCACCTGGCTGAAAAGTATCTTAATTTATTTTTCCTAATAATGTGTTTACGTTGTAACAGGTGTAGTTTCCTATGTAGAATATGAAGTGCCTAATTTCACCTACTTTTAAAAGTAGTTTAATTCATAAGCAGACATTCTTTCTAGCCAGTGAAATTTAGCAGACTGAGATGGGGGAAACAGAATAAAGTGGGGAAATTTAACAGAAAGAAACTTTCTAATTAAAAATTAAATTTTTTTCAAGATAAGGCCTTGCTCTGTTACCCAGGATATAATGTGGTAGCACAGTGGTAGCTCACTGCATCCTCAAACTCCTGGGCTCAAGTGATCCTCCTGCCTCAGCCTCCAAAGTAGCTGGGAATACAGGCAAGTGTGGCCACACTCAACTAATTTTTTTCATTTTTTTAGAGACAGGATCTTGCTATGTTGGCTAGGCTGGTATTGAACTCCTACCTTCAAGCGATCTTCCCTCCTCAGCCTCCCAAAGTGCTGGGATTACAGGCAGGAGCCATTGTGCCTGGCCAGGAAACTTACTATAAACTAACTAAAAATATTGCTTCCCCTTTATTGTTTATACACAGCTAATTTGTAGTAGTACCACTAGATTAGTATTGATTTCTAGTAGTGTCACTTAATTGCAACAACAGTCTTCCTGCACACTTTCCCTGTCCTTCTCTTAAAAATTCTTTTATTATAATTTCATGTTTACTTTTCTTTTTTAGAGCACTTATGACTACGGCAGGCAGTTGCTACAGGCTACAGTTGTGTTATGCCAATCTTTGCGCTGCACTTCTCGATCATCTGGGGATACACTTCCTCGGTTGAACAGAGTATGGAAACAATTTACAATAGCATCTGAAGAGAGAGTACATAGGTTGGAAATGGCTATTGCATTTCACTCAAATGCTGAAAAGGTTTGCATTTCTTTTTTTAATGTATTCTCATTAAAAAAAATATAATAAAGTAATATATTGTAAATAATACATTTATTAATAATATATATTTATTAATAATATAATAAAGTAATAAAGTAAATAAAATATAATAAAGTGGTATTTATTATATATCTTTAAAAATGTTAATTTTAGTAATGTAATTATATAACTAATCTATTTTTCAATATTTATATTAGTTCCATTGTTACAGTTTGTTTAGTTATAATATATTGCCTTAGAGAGTTCAAATGAAATTTTCTTAATCCTTACCAGTGCTGGAGAGCCGTGATTAGAGAAATCCAGAACCTTGTGGTAGTCTTATCCTTAAACCTTTTCTCTCCTGACCAAGCCTGGTGTCCAGAATATGCCCTCTGTTATTTGGAGTATCATGAGTTCAATCTCTTCCATCATGCCAGGAAGGGAAAATTTTTGCTTTGGCAACTGCTGTTAATTGTCACATATTTTTAAAATGGCACCTTGTGATTTTATAATTTAAGTAGAGACATTAAAAAATAAGAATAAGGACAAAAGTGAAATGCTTCTTTATATATGTTGCTTAAAGATTTATTCTAGAATTTGTTATAATGAATTAAGGTCATTAATTCCAAAAACAAATAATAAAATATATAGTGTTATTTGGACAAATTTTCAATAGAACCTTTTTCTTACTCTTCATAGTAAGAATTTATTGTATCCAAGCCTTACATACCCAAAAGGAACTAATTTTGTTTTGATCTCTTACAATAAAAGATTATATATAGGGAATGTTGAATACATTTTGAGGTATTAGCAAACCTAACTTGATGTGTAGAACAGATGTTGCAAGGAACGTCAGGAATTAAGCAGTTTCTTTCTGAATTATGAAGTACATTTGTTGGGAAGTGTCATAGTTAACTCATTGTCAGCTGGTCGTTGAACTCCACAGATCAATGTTTGATTAACATAGGCCTAATTAAGATAAATAAAAGTATAACAAAATGCTGTAACTTGTTTATCCATTGATTGTTACAATGAGAATTTTTTTTATTATGAAGTATACTATTAACATAGAAAACATAAGACCACAAGTATTCTGTGCAGTGAGATTTCACAAAGTGAACAAACCTGTGTAATCAGTGTACTGTTCAAAAAAAACAGAACATTACCATCACCCAGAAGCTCCCTCCTACCTCTTGTAGTCACAGTACTGCTTCCCCGACTACCTCACTGTCAAACGGTGACCACTTGCCCAGTGTCTAGCATCACTGATAAAAAAAAAAAGTAATATTCTAAAAAGTTAATTGCATTTTAGGTTTTGGGTTACATGTGAAGAACATGCAAGATTGTTGCATAGGTATACACATGGCAGTGTGATTTGCTGTGTTCCTCCCCATCACCGATATCTGGCATTTCTCCCCATGCTCTCTCTCCCCAACTCCCCACCCCCCGCTGTCCCTCCCCTGTTTCCCCCCAACAGACCCAAGTGTGTGATGCTCCCCTCCCTGTGTCCATGTGTTCTCATTGTTCAACACCCACCTATGAGGGAGAACATGCGGTGTTTGATTTTCTGTTCTTGTGTCAGTTTGCTGAGAATGATGGTTTCCAGGTTCATCCATGTCCCTACAAAGGACACAAACTCATTTGTTATGGGTGCATAGTATTCCATGGTATATATGTGCCACATTTTCCCTGTCCAGTCTATCATCGATGGGCATTTGGGTTGGTCCCAAGTCTTTGCTATTGTAAACAGTGCTGCAGTGAACATTTGTGTGCATGTGTCCTTATAGTAGGATGATTTATAATGCTTTGGATATATACCCAGTAATGGGATTGCTGGGTCAAATGGAATTTCTATTTCTAGGTCCTTGAGGAATCGCCACACTGCCTTCCACAATGGTTGAACAAATTTACACTCCCACCAACAGTGTAAAAGTGTTCCTATTTCTCCACATTCTCTCTGGCATCTGTTGTCTCCAGACTTTTTAATGATCACCGTTCTCACTGGTGTGAGATGGTATCTCAATGTTGTTTTGATTTGCATTTCTCTAATGACCAGTGATGATGAGCTTTCTTTTCCATATGTTTGTTGGCCTCATGTATGTCTTCTTTTGTAAAGTATCTGTTAATATCCTTCACCCATTTGAATATGGTTTTTTCTTGTAAACCTGTTTTAGTTCTCTGTAGATTCTGGATATTAGCCCTTTGTCAGATGGATAGATTGCAAAAATTTTTTCCCACTCTGTTGGTTGCCGATTCACTCTAATGACTGTTTCTTTTGCTGTGGAGAAGCTGTAGAGTTTGATTAGGTCCTATTTGTCTATTTTGGCTTTTGTTGCCAAGGCTTTTGGTGTTTTGGTCATGAAGTCTTTGCCTATGCCTATGTCCTGAATGGTTTTGCCTAGGTTTTCTTCTAGAATTTTTATGGTGTTAGGTCTTATATTTAAGTCTTTAGTCCACAGGAGTTAATGTTAGTGTAAGATGTCAGGAAGGGGTCCAGTTTCTGCTTTCTACACATGGCCAGCCAGTTTTCCCAACACCATTTATTAAACAGGGAATCCTTTTCCCATTGCTTGTTTTTGCCAGTTTTGTCAAAGATCAGATGGTTGTAGATGTGTGGTGTTGCCTCCGAGGCCTCTGTTCTGTTTCATTGGTCTATATCTCTGTTTTGGTACCAGTACCATGCTGTTTTGATTATTGTAGCCTTGTAGTATAGTTTGAAGTCTGGTAGTATGATGCCTCCAGCTTTGTTTTTTTTTTTTTTGCTTAGAATTGACTTGGCTATGTGGGCTCTGTTTTGGTTCCATATGAAAGTTTAAAGTGGTTTTTTCCAATTCTGTGAAGAAGGTCATTGGTAGCTTGATGGGGTTAGCATTAAATCTGTAAATTACTTTGGGCAGTATGGCTATTTTCCAATATTGATTCTTCCTAACCATGAACATGGAATGTTTCTCCATCTGTTTGTGTCCTCTCTTATTTCCTTGAGCACTGGTTTGTAGTTCTCCTTGAAGAGGTCCTTTATGTTTCCTGTTTTGTTGTATTCCTAGATATTTTATTCTCTTTGTAGCAATTGTGAATGGCAGTTCGTTCTTGATTTGGCTCTCTTTAAGTCTGTTATTGGTGTATAGAATGCTTGTGATTTTTATATATTGATTTTGTATCCTGAGACTTTGCTGAAGTTGTTTATCAGTTTCAGGAGATTTTCGGCTGAGACGATGGGGTCTTCTAAGTATACAATCATGTCATCTGCAAATAGAGACAATTTAACTTCCTCCTTTCCTATTTGAATACCTGATATTTATTTTTCTTGTCTGATTGCTTTGGCTGGAACTTCCAATACTATATTGAATAGGAGTGGTGAGAGAGGGCATCCTTGTCTAGTGCCAGATTTAAGAGGGAATGCTTCCAGTTTTTGTCCATTCAGTATGATATTGGCTGTTGGTTTGTCATAAATAGCTTTTATTATTTTGAGATACGTTCCATCAATACCTAGTTTATTGAGGGTTTTTAGCATAAAGGGCTGTTGAATTTTGTCAAAGGCCTTCTCTGCATCAATTGAGATAATCATGTGGTTTTTGTCTTTGGTTCTGTTTATGTGGTGAATTACGTTTATCGACTTGCATATGTTGAACCAGCCTTGCATCCCTGGAATGAAGCCTACTTGATCATGGTGGATAAGCTTTTTGATGTGCTGTTGCAATAGGATTGCCAATATTTTATTGAAGATTTTTGCATCTGTGTTCGTCATGGATATTGGCCTAAAGTTTTCTTTTCTTGTTGAGTCTCTGCTAGGTGTTGGTATCAGGATGATGTTGGTTTCATAAAATGATTTGGGAAGGATTCCCTCTTTTTGGATTATTTGGAATAGTTTCAGAAGGAATGGTACCAGCTCCTCTTTGTATGTCTGGTAGAATTCGGCTGTGAACCCATCTGGACCTGGGCTTTTTTTGGGTGGTAGACTCTTAATTGCTGCCTCCACTTCTGCCCTTGTTATTGGTCTATTCTGGATTTCGACTTCTTCCTGGTTTGGGCTTGGGAGGATGCAAGTGTCCAGGAATTTATCCATTTCTTCCAGCTTTACTAGTTTATGTGCATAGAGTTGTTTGTAATAATCTTTGATGATGGTTGGCATTTCTGTGGAATCTGTGATTATATCACCTTTATCATTTTTTATTGCATCTATTTGATTATTCTTTTTTATTAATCTGGCTAGTGGTCTATTTTGTTGATCTTTTCAAAGAACCAGCTCCTGGGTTTATTGATTTTTTGAAGGGTTTTTTTGTGTCTTTACCTCCTTCAGTTCTACTCTGATGTTAGTTATTTCTTGTCTTCTGCTAGGTTTTGAGTTTTAGGTTTTTTTTTTTATTTTGCTCCTCTAGCTCTTTCAATTTTGACTATAGGGTGTCGATTTTAGATCTTTCCTTGCTTCTCATGTGGGCATTTATTGCTATATATTTTCCTCTAGACACTGCTTTAAATGTGCCCAAGATTCTGGTATGTTGTGTCTTCATTCTCATTGGTTTCAAAGAACAACTGTATTTCTGCTTTCATTTCATTGTTTATCCAGTCAACATTCAAGAGCTAGTTGTTCAGTTTCCATGAAGATGTGCGGTTCTGAGTTAGTTTCTGAATTCTGTGTTCTAACTTGATTGCACGGTGGTCTGTGAGAATGTTATGATTTCTGTTCTTTTGCATTTGCTGAGGAGTGATTTACTTCCAATTATGTGGTCAGTTTTAGAGTAGGTGTGATGTGGTGCTGAGAAGAATGTATATTTTGTGGATTTGGGGTAGAGAGTTCTGTAAATGTCTATTAGGTTTGCTTGTTCCAGGTATGAGTTCAAGTCCTGGATATCCTTGTTAATTTTCTGTCTCATTGATCTCTCTAGTATTGACAATGGGGTGTTAAAGTCTCCCACTATTATTGTGTGAGAGTCTAAGTCTCTTTGTAGGTCATAAGAACTTGCTTTATGTATCTGGGTGCTCCTGTACTGGGTGGTATGTATTTAGGATCGTTAGCTCCTCTTATAGCATGGATAATTTTTCCATTATGTAATGTCCTTCTTTGTCTCTTTTGATCTTTGTTGGTTTAAAGTCTATTTTATCACAGATGAGAATTGCAACTCCTGCTTTTTTTTTGCTCTCCATTTGTTTGGTAAGTCTTCCTCCATCCCTTTATTTTGAACCTTTGTGTATCCTTGCACGTGAGATGGGTTTCCTGGAAACAGCACACAGATGGGTTTTGACCTTTTATCCAATTTGCCAGTCTGTGTCTTTTAATTGGGGTTTGTGGCCCATTTACATTTAGGGTTAATATTGTTATGTGTGAATTTGATCCTCCCATTTTGATGCTAGCTGACTGTTTTGCCCATTAGTTGCAGTTTCTTCATTCTGTCAGTGTACTTTACCATTTGGTATGTTTTTGGAGTGGCTGGTACTGGTTGTTCCTTTCTATCTTTAGTGCTGCTTTCAGGAGCTTTTGTAAGGCAGGCCTAGTGGTGATGAAATCTCTGAATATTTGCTTGTTCATAAAGATTTTATTTCTCCTTCACTTATGAAGCTTAGTTTGGCTGGTTATGACATTCTGGGTTGAAAGTTCTTTAAGGATGTTGAATATTGGCCCCCAGTCTCTTCTGGCTGTAGGGTTTCTGCTGAGAGATGTGCTGTGAGTCTGATGGGCTTCCTTTTGTGGGTAACCCGACCTTTTTCTCTGGCTGCCCTTAGCATTTTCTCCTTCATTTCATTTCAACCCTGGTGAATCTGATGATTATGTGCCTTGGGGTTGCTCTCCTTGAGGAATGTCTTTGTGGTGTTCTCTGTATTTCTTTGACTTGAATATTGGCTTGCCTTGCTAGGTTGAGGAAGTTTTCCTGGATAATATCCTGAAGAGTATTTTCCAACTTGGATTCATTCTCTCCATCACATTCAGTTACACCTATCAAACGTAGATTAAGTCTTTTCACACAGTCCCATATTTCTTGGAGACTTTATTCATTCCTTTTTACCCTTTTTTGTCTAATGTTGCCTTCTCATTTTATTTCTTTGACTTGATCTTCGACCTCTGATATCTTTTCTGTTGTAACTTGTGTATGCTTCACGAAGTTCTCNCCATATTTCTTGGAGACTTTATTCATTCCTTTTTACCCTTTTTTGTCTAATGTTGCCTTCTCATTTTATTTCTTTGACTTGATCTTCGACCTCTGTCATTTTGGCTGTTGTAACTTGTGTATGCTTCACGAAGTTCTCGTGTTGTGTTTTTCAGCCCCATCAATTCACTTATATTCCTTTCTATTTTGTCCATTCTTGTTAGCATTTCATCAAATCTTTTTTCACGGTTCTTAGTTTCTTTGCATTGGGTTAGAACATGTTCTTTTAGCTCGGAGAAGTTTCCTGTTCCCCACCTTCTGAAGCCTGTTTCTGCCAATTCATCACACTCATTCTCCATCCAGCCTTGTTCCCTTGCTGGTGATGAGTTGTGATCCCTTGTAGGAGGGAGGTGTTCTGGTTTCAGGTGTTTTCATCCTTGTTGTGCTGGTTTCTTCCCATCTTTGTGGAATTATCCACCTGTCATCTTTGTAGTTGTTGACTTTCAGATTAGGTTTCAGAGTGGACATCCAGTTTGTTGATGAGGAAGTTATTTCTTTCTGTTTTTTAGTTTTCCTTTTAACAGGCCCCTCTGCTGTAGGACTGCTGAGGTCCACTCCAGGCCCTGCTTGCCTGGGGATCACCTGCAATGGCTGTACAACAGTAAGGGTTGCTGCCAGTTTCTTCTTCTGCTATCTTTGTCCCAGAAGGATACCCACCAGATGTCAGCGTGAGCTCTCCTTTATGAGGTGACTCTTTGGATATACAGGGGTTAGGGAGCTGCTTGAGGAGACAGACTGTCCTTTATAGGAGCTCAAGTGCTGAGCTGTGAGCTCCGTTGTTCATTCAGAGCTGCTGGGCAAGTACGTTTAAAAGTCTGCTGCAGCAGAACTCATAAATGCCCTTTTTTTGTTCCCCAGGTGCTCTCTCCCGGGTAGTTAGGGCTTTATTTATAAGTTTCTGTCATGCTGCTGCCTTTTTTCAGGGCTGCCCTGCCCAGCAAAGAGGCAGCCTAGTCACAGTCTGCCTGCAGAGGCTTTGCTGAACTGCTGTGGGCTCTGCCCAGCTGCCGTGTGAACTTCCCTGCAGTCCTGTTTATACATGGATAGTTAGAACTGCCTTGGCAGTGGCAGCCCACCTCTGTAAAGGTGGACTCTCTCTGTAGTGGCGGGCTGCCTCGGCAATGGTGGGCTGCCTCAGCAATGGTGTACTACTTCGGTAGTGGTGGATGGCCTTGGTAATGGCGGACACCCCTTCCCCACAGAGCTGGACCGTCCCAGGTTCAGCAGTGCTTGCTGTGAAACTCTCAATACAGAGCGTTTAAGATTGCTGTTTTTTTGTGGGTGTGGGGCCGGCTGATCACCTGGCTCCCTGCCTCAGACCCCCTTTTTTTTTTTTTTTTTTTTTT